ACATTCTAAACAAATTTAGAAACATTCATTTACATTATGGATTTTACTTGATTTAGTGGCAATGCTGAGGAAGGAGCATTGATATCTTTATCAAATTCGATGTTCGACAGCAAAAATTTTATCTTCGAATCAATATCAATAAGGCACTACTTGTATTTTTGTTTTGACAGATAAGAAAACTTGTCTCTTCGAGTAATGGTAATGAATATCAGGTCAATTACAACAAAAATGGCATTCGTATTCGAACAATACATTCTTTTATACAAGGCAGTTACACTATTCATTTTATGGTAGTCTTAGAAAACCATTAAACTTTATATACTTTCAAAAATTAATTTTAGATACCAGAATCCAAGCGTTTCCAGGTGACGAAAGCAAGTTATATAAAACAATCAGGGTATATTAAAGTTATAATAATTCTTAAAAAATGATTTTTTTTTATAAGGAATTACAAAAGGAGAATCAATTCAAATAAAAGTTGCTTCGAAAAGTAAGGATTAATCTGCCGAACAAAAACTTCATTCAAGCAGCCGCAACTGTACTAGAGGCAGATTCATCAACCGCAAATGAGGATCATCCAATCGTATCACCAACAGCATTCCTTGATGATTGTGTTACGGATATAGATGAGTATATATAGGAAAAGACAATTATCCATAAGACCATCTTTTGCCCAAAATAAAGGATGCCCTAAAAGTCACTTTACCGAAAGAAAAATTGAATATCTTTACTACAGCTCGAGCGAATGAGCTGGTTTTTTATCAATGGCAGAGGCTTGTTTAAGCTTTGTATCCATAAAGACAGGTGTAGAGAGACCCGTTGCTAAGTATGTGGGTGTGGGTGGGTGTCGCTGTGGGTGTGGGGTGTGGATGGGTATCGCTGTGGGTGTGGGGTGTGGATGGGTATCGCTGTGGATGTGGGGTGTGGGTGGGTATCGCTGTGGGTGTGGGGTGTGGGTGGGTGTCGCGGTGGGTGTGGGGTGTGGGTGGGTGTCGCTGTGGGTGTGGGGTGTGGGTGTGGGGTGTGGGGTGTGGGTGTGGATGTGAGTGGATGTGGGGTGTGGAGTGTGGGTGTGGATGTGAGTGGATGTTGGTGTGGATGCGGATGTAGGTGTCCTATCTTTTTCATTACCGCTAACACCCACACTAACCTACATCCGCACTCACACCTACACCCACATCCACACACCCCTTTTATAGGTCTCCGATAATACTTTTTTTAAGAATGTACGATATAAATTGATTTACTTTTGTCTTCATCTGATTGAGAAAAAAAGAAGGTAATTGTTGGCAATATCTTTATATTTCCTTTAAGTTGTTGTATTAAATGTATTGATAATGCTTCATATGATTCTGGATCAGCTAGTTTCTGTTGAATTTGTTCTTGAATTTATATATTGGCCTGATCGTTGTTTGATAACAAAAACTCATTGTGGATAGGGTCTGAATATAAAGAAATGCTTCCACCAACTAAGATTTGTAATGTATGAATTTGATTAAATTTGAACTTGACGTATGAAAGCATTGTTTGAAACATTTTTTGTAAGTCTTCGGCTATTTGTTCAATAACGTCAATTGCTGTTGATGTAGCATCGCACTTTGATGATGAATAATCTTCTGATGTAGGTTTCAAATACGAAAATCTTGTGTTATGGAAAATACTGGTAAGGAAAAAGAAATGATATGGACCCACGGCATCAGTTCTAATTGTTGTGAAACTAAGGGTGTGAGTGTGGGTGTTGGTAATAATGTCACACAACCAGGCCCCGCGAAAGTGGGGGGGTGTAGGGGGGTGTACACCCCCCCAAAAATTGAAAATTATTTATTATTAGCCAGCAAAGTGGATGAATTTTTTGAACTTTCAAAGTATCCTCGCTGTTAGAGGTTTTTCAGACATCTTCCAAAAGGATTCTGAGTACAGAGGGGAGTCAGGGGATGACCTTTCCCGAATAATTGTAAACTATAGTTGGGATATCGGTGAAAAACACGAATTTCTATGGCAAGTTGAAGAAATCAGATGGTTTTTTTTCCTCCAAACCCAGTGTAAAACGATGATTTTTCTAGAAAATGCTGAGATGTTAAAATTTGTCGCTCCGCGAAGAAATAACCATATGAGCGTATTCGGCCTAAAAATGTCTATGATTTTGCTATTTTTATGAGAATTTTACGGTTTTCTACCTTGTGAGCAGCTTCATTTTCAAGCAATCATCACTAGGTGGACGTCTTCGGCGGCAAAATTGTTATGACTTATCGCGACAATTTTTCCTTTAGAAAAAAAATAAGCAAAAGACGAATTTCTCCTTAGTCTGAAAAAAGTTTTCGCTTCGCGAAAAATAACAGTTGCGTAACCACAGTTAACTTAGAAAAACTTCCAACTTTAGTCGATTTTCCCTTTAAAAGATCTAATCGAGAACAATCGTCACCAGCGTGGCCGCCTTCGCCTGCCGAATTGTTGAGAAATTTTCTTACATTGGACATGATTTATCTTCTTGAAAATTTGCCCGAGAAAGTCGAATTTTTTAAGAAAGTTGCAAAAAGTTTTCGCTTTGCGAGAAATTGTTACATTTTAGGTTGCGAGAGAAACATTTATATCAGGTCTAATGCGAAAAAAAATCAGGTGCATAGCCAGAAGTTTTCTAAGAGGAGGAACCAGGGTTCGAAGGGGGACCATCATGGTAAAAAAATTTGCGCTTCGCGAACATTTAACTCTGTACCCCACCAGAAAATTTTTCTTGGAAGGGGACCGACCCTCTTTCCTCTTGGCTATGCTACTGCAAAAAATTTTGCTTCGCTCAAGCTTAGCTGCCTCAGGACCTATTACACCCCCCCAAACCTGGGACCTTCGCGCGGGGCCTGCACACAACACCCAAACCCCTACTCACACCCATATTGACAGTCATCACCTAGCTTTAATGTATGTATCATATAATTCATTTTTTCACTTGTATCATATAAGCATGGTGTCATTGGATATTTAAATGGAAATTTTAACAAAGAATCATAAATACCACGCATTATAAATATATGTAAGGATAAATATGTATGTTCAGCTGTTGAATTACTATTTAAATATAGTTTTAATGATATATGATGATCATATTTTGATAAATAAAATGAATCTAACCTAATGCATAATGGTTCAGGAGCTTGTTTGCATTTGAAAATAATTCTTCAATCTTATCAATACACCATAAATAGCCAGCATCATTAAACAGCTTAAAAATTTTCATCCATGTCGATCAAAATCATTCCAACTCTTCTTACATTACCGATAGAACTCGTCTATAGAATTCTTCATCATCTTAATGATTTCAATATTTTATGCTCGGCACGAAACGTCTGTGCACGTATCCTGGTCGAAAAAAGTACGGCAGTAAACGACTGGTTCCCTCGAAATCCAGTCAATTTCCAGCTGCCAGATCCAAAGCCGGTTCTGTCCTCCGTTTCCGACGTGATTCCAGACATTTCCTACATTCGGAAACGATAACCAGATACAGTTGTCATTTTCAGACCGGATCCCATCTTTTCCGAAGCCTGAATTCTGTCGTTCCCAATCCGTTACGATGCTAGGAATAATCTCTGCATATGCAGTTTTCGGTTGTTGTGTATCGTTACTTTCGGATTAGAAACTCTAAGACTCCTATAAAAAAGACATTATCTTTTAATGATTTCACTGTGTTTCTCATTTTCCAAAGTTGTAGAAATCATGTTGGCTGCTGTTTTGACACAGATATGATCGGTTGCTTTCTGCAGCACATACTTTTGTGTATTGGTTATGATCATGGTGCGTGAAGATATGGCTTGTTTCTTTTAGTGATTCAACTTTGCGGTAGGCTCGATGCCTATGATGATCGGTTTGTTCCATTCAAATAGTGTTGTAGTTTCGCTGCGTGTTCCGCGGTTTATTTCTGTAGCTCATGCGTATCTTCTTGGTTTCCGGTGTGTTTTTGATAATGGTGCGACTTTACTTAATTCGTGCTTGCGGTATCATGGTTTTGCTGTCCGTTATGCTCGTTTTAGGCTGATTGGTTTTTGTAGAGGAAACATACACGTTAATCGAGGAGATACGGCTCGAAAGTTCGTGGAACTTCAGCGGATCCATAGAAGAAATAATACTAATCCGATAGGAAGCATCCCGAAAAATCTGGAAGTATGGGTAGATCCTATCGGAAATAAAGGTTGGATTCATTGGATTTCAATCCGATACACTGAGTGTCTGAATGATTCTGGTCGGATCTTTGTGCTGTTTCGTTGTGTTTCCCAGAGTTTTCTTTGCTTTTTGGTGGAATTCCAGTAGTTTCCTGTCGATTTCCCGTTTCGAGGTTACCTCGGAAAAAATATTTCCGAGTACGGTGGATTTTCGGTCCGGAATACTGCTTCCAATTTCCATGTGTTTTTCAAATGGACTTTGCGAGCAGCTCAGTGGATCTTGCACGAAACATGGTGGGAAAATTCCGGAAGCCGGAATCAATGATCTGAGTACGCTACAATTTTATAACGTCTGATTTTAGTGATATTGATTTATTAACACTAGCAGAGATAAAAATGCGCGAGTATTTCCCTTTAGACTTTCAAGTGTGATGGAATTATTTCATTCTATTCTATTTCATAAAACATTTATTTAAAAAATTGCTTCCATCAAATTGATCTTTGTTAATCCATGTATACGTTTTAAATGAAAAATATTCGTAGAATTAATCTTGTTCATATGACAAAATTTGGTGGTATAAGAATCTACCAGTAACTTTGAGAACAACAAAATTGATCTAATGCTGCTGATTTTTTAATAGATTTATCAAATTATATAAATTTTATGGACAGTAAGAAAAACTTCTTCAAAACATATCATATTTAGTGATTCGATAAAGACTACTTATACAACAAATAAAAAACTCGAAAATCTGGCATAAGTCAACAAAAATGAAATAAATAACAAAAACAAAAAAAAGATAATTGTACAAATAAAAAATATGGAAATGCTTAATCTTAGACAGTATGTAATCATTTCCTTGATTGTTCATCTCCATCTGAAGCTGAAAAGAATTCTGATGATCCACCAGGATCTCTGATAGTACCAACAGTCGTTTCACTGTTGTCATTCATCTCATTTTCATTCGTTTGAGTTGATTGATCATTAAACGATTTTGGTTCTGGTAAAACAAATTGAAAATCAAGTTCATTATGTAAGGTTTCATCATCTCCAAATGACAATAACCATGCACGTAATTCATCAATCTAAACAATAATTTTATCGATGAAATCATTCTAGACTATATTCGGTAAAATAAATACTCACTCTATGACGATCATCATCACTAAATGAATATGAAAAACTGCTTTGTGCAATCGGTTCATAACTTGTATCATCTTTACCATCAAATATAAGCCTGAGAAAAAAAATTCAAATCTTATTTTATATATAATACAAATTAAAATACACATACCAGCTATAATAATTAGAAGATTTTAATTGTATACAACCACTTTCAGGTTTATAAGTTGTTATCTAATTGACAAGAAATAGCTATATATTCTTTGTCTAGGATTACTCACTTTCATTCGATGTAGTCGAATTAATTGTCCAACTTCAATCTGAACAGGAAGTTCAATCATACCAGCATACGATTCGCGATACAGAAGACAACTGGCACCTTTTGGACCTAAAAAAAGGACTTATTAATTACATAAAAGAATACTATTCGTTTATGTTGATATCTTTTATTTACCTTTGCCATATGATGTCGGATCACATATACCTAATAACATACAATTAACATTGATTTCACGACGAAATTTGATTACACCATATAGACACCATTTAGCACCACTTGGTTGAATTAAATTATACAATTCATTTATTGTCTTATACTCATACTAATAACAATCATAACATAAGACTTGGAATTATCTTCTAACACATACTTTCTGAGGTATTCCAGTCATTGTTACAGATGTCGATTGTCTTGATGGTATTTATATCTAGAAATCAAAAAGCAACATCAAACAATAAAGAAAACCATCAATCGACTAATGATTTGAAGTTTGTTGTTTATAAATTCTTGCCAAACACAATAACAAGGGATACAATGAAAAGAAACAGAAAGAAGAAAAAAAAAGAAAATAACAAGAGCAGAAAAAAAACACAAGGTCGAATCAACTGATTAACACACACTGTACAAAATAAATTTCAATCTTATTCGTTCTATCGAATAGAGAAAGAAAACGAAAACAAATGATTGAGCAAAATATCGAATGTACAATATGCGCGTATGAATGACAGAACAAAAAAAGAAAATCATATATACATGGTATCTTTGACATAGTTACTCATAAAACAAAACACAAACGCATGCACCACCGGTTTTTAATCGTACTGTTCAATAGATGATTAATCAAATATTTCCTGTATTATGATTTGTCTGTTTTTTTTCGTTGATTATCATCTTGTTTAAGTATACGTATTTGTGTTCTATAGGCTTGTGAAAGTCCTTTTTGCCAAAACCGTATTAATGCTAAATCACTCGTATTTTCAACATTAAATATTGTCATTTGTCCACGATCATTAGATGATACTGTTGTTGCCGTTTGACAACGGCCAAGTTGAAAATAAAGTTTTGCTTTACTTAAAAAAAATAAAACAAAATAAACTATGACATTAGTCAATTTTATAAATATTTAAAATTTTTTACTTTAAATATTTAATCTTATAATGTGTTATCATAGATTCGAATGCTTCTTCATCTAAACTATCATCTGTTAATAAATGAATAATTGTTTTAACATAAGTTGGTACTAAAAAAACAAAAATTTTTTTATTTAAATAAAAAATTCCGATGAATTTGGTGGCCGATCTTCAATCAAGATATTGTATATGTGATCTTATAGAAAAATGTGCACCGCATCGAATATTATATGAGAAATCAAGTTTTCCTCAAATTTTGATGTGTTGAGAGTTCATATACTAGTAAGTATTAATTACAGAAAGTTGACGAGCATCTATAATTTTATCGAATTGAGTTTAAAAACAAAATGTGCATAAATTTATTTTAGAACATCTTAGAGGACACAATACCTATGAGTACCATACATATTTCTCAAGGATTATAACTAGTATATTGAACTCTCCAACACATCAAAATTTGAGAAAAACTTAATTTCTCATATATCATTCGATGTGATACAAATTGTTCTACAAGACAACATATATGGCACCTTTATTCATGATCGGTCATCAAATCAGACGGAAGCCTTTCCAAAAAAAACAGAAAAAGAGAAAATACTAACCAGGAATTTCTGATCTTGTTGGTGGTAATGTTTCTAATTTAACAACACGAAGATTTTCGTCAATATCATCGAGTATTATTTTAATAATAATTGAATTATTATCATTAAAATCTTCTGTTATTGATAATAATATATTATTTGTTAAAACTAAATCTGTATCAAATAAAATTAAATTTGCTGTACATGGTGCTATTTGATTTGTAACTTCAATTAAATGAAAACAACCATCAGGCAAAAATAACTATTAGAAAAATCAAAACAATAAATCAATTCAAAAAATAAAAATAAAAATAAATAAAATATTCTCTTTTTATACTCGAAAAACACTTGCTAAACAACGAATTAAATCTTTATTCTCAGTTCTATTTGTATATTTAATAATTAAACGATTTCCAATAACCCAATTATATAGAACATATTGTAAATATTTAGTATTATTTAATTTTTTAATAAATAATTGAAATAATTTAAATGCTTCATGACTATTTGATGAAAATTGATATTGTAATGAATCAAAATCATCATCATCATTATAAAAAATATTATCATTTCCTTGATAACTACCAGTAGTTGAATAGAGTGATGTTGCTAAATAACTTTGATTTTCACCATTATTTGTTAATGTTGATGACATTATTAATGAATTTTGATTTCCATTTGTTACAGATTTTGAAATAATTGTTGTTCGTCGACGTTTTGTCGTTATATTTGTTGAATTTTCATCATCAAATACATCTAATAAGAGAAAATATTGATGGAAATAAATGAATCTTTTTTCTTCTTTTCTTTTCTTTTCTTTTACCTTTTCGTTCTTGTTTTGTTGTTTGTTCTTCTGTTGGTAGTGCATCAAAAAGTGTTTCTTTTATTGCTGAATTAGTTATACGAAGTAACCAAACAAATAATGCATGTATACGAAATGTTATTGTTGAATCATGTACAATATCACTAAGCATTCGTTGTGATGGTACAGTGGGTGGTGGACGAAAGATATATGTAGCTATTGTTGATATTCCATTTAAATTTGTATTTACTTTTATACGTCCTTCTTGTTCATAAGTTTCATTAGCATCATATTGTAACCAATGAGCAGCTTGTCTTAAACAGTCACTAACAAGTTTCATTAATGAAATAAGATGATATTTATCATTACATAAATAACATAAAGCATAAAGACGTTGACTACCACGAGCATGAAAATCTTTACATGAAAATGCTAATGATATACAATAACCATTTTCATCATCACCAAATAATATTGGAGCATCAACTTCAACTGATTTCTATAAGAAATAATATTTCAGATAGAAATGTGTAAGAGATTTTTTATATTTCACAATAGAAATATTATTGAAAGTAAATGAAAAAAACATAAAATTTAAAGGACAATTGATTTGTATTGTTTGTCATTTGGTAAAATATTTTTTTGAAAGAGCTTTTTAGTGCAACCTCTGTGAAACTAAAATATGGAACTCATATGTATTCTTTAACCATATTATACTAATACAAAATATGTTAAGTGAAAAATCTCTAACAGACTATAGTTGTTTTCCAAGGATAGTAGATCATCGGAGAAACAATCTGTTTTATTTATTTCTGGATTTCGAACTAAAATATTTTCTTTTTCCTATTCTATTTTTTCTTATTTAATATTATTATTATTGTAGCCATTGATTTAACAGGCAAATAAGTCTGTTGTACATATTCATTATATCTACAGCAGGTCTTAACACACTTATATATCTCGAAACACTGATATCGATCGTCACCCATCATTATTGGCATCTATCATATAATTTTTTTTTTATCTGCATAAAAATCAGAAGCTGCACTATTTTGAATATTTACAAACGCATTTCAACCATTCAAATTTCAACGAAGACTTTGGAATGTGCTAGAATTGTCTAAGTCTTGTCATCAATGACGTTCAGCACTTCTCCTATTGCTAAGGAACTTTGAGAAAGGAGTCTATTGCTAGTTGTCCTTGATTGCTACTGAACCGTACTCAATGTAATTATTGACCCCGATGGCTATGAATATGCGAAGTCAAAAAAGCTGCAAAACATAGACTTAAAACTATAGCTTACTTTTTTTTCTTCGAAAAATATATGTGAGTTTCACAAAATGACTATTGTTCATCATTAAAAATTTGCTCATAATCTCTGACTATTTTTTCTTCAGAACAGTTTGAATTGAAATTTATCAAATATTTATATTTTAAGGTATTCAATATTCTCTAAATTAATACTTCTTCGTTATCTTTATTTCAATATTAAAACTTATGTTTTCCCCTTTTTGCTATCGAAAATTATCTAAAGAGATCTTATGATTTGAAATAAATAATTTTATGTCATGAATAAGAAAACAAGATAAACTTTTATTAGAAGAATAATCAATTTAATAACATACTTCAACATTTAAACTTCGTAAACATGCATTTCGTACGTCTTTAAATAATTCTTGATTAGGTGTTGACGATGATGAAATATATAACATATGATTTACAGAATCAATAGATGAAACAAGAATATTATCAGATGATAATGTACATGACTAAATGAAATTTTATTATTAATTTTAGAAAAAAAAAATTTATTAAAATTTAAATTCTTTACCTTGCATTCGACTTTTCCTTGTGGATGTTCTGATTTAATATATTGTGAATAAAATGTTTTTAAATCTTCATCATCATTATCATTTAAATCTTGAATATATGTTTTTGCTTCTGTACATAATAAGATTTGTGGACCATGTATGTCACAAAAATGTTGTAATGCACAAGACGCATTCATAAAAATATTAAACAATAAATATTAACATGTACAGAATGAATGTAGAACAAAAATGAAAAAGAATTATCTACCAAAAAAAAAAAAAAAAGAAAAAATCAAACAAATATCTATTATTGAAAACAAAATTTTCTAAATTTGAGATTTATCATTGTTTATAGATTCTTAATTTGAAAGAAAAAATGAAAACGAAGGACAAAACAGATTATTAAAATCACCGAACAAATAATTTAAAACCATGATAAGTATCAACAACTCGCGGTGCTAATAAATGGAATCGCCATCGTTTTATACAATTAAATATATATAAAAATGGATAAATAAACAATGATGGAATATATGTTAAAAGATGATAAATTAAATGAAGTCGTTGTAAAAATGAATGTTCATTCAAATAAATATCGACATCAGCACTTGATGGTTGACGAAAATTAAATTCAGGATAATAATATGAAAATGAACATTTCGGTTCAAGATGATTCGCACGCCATGATGCATTCGAATCATGATTTGTTGTTGATGTTTCATCAACCATATTTAATTTAAGCCATATTTCTGTAAATATACCTAAATGTACTTGACCTAATTCAATTAATTTTGGCATTTTCTTTTGTCGATTAAATGTTTGTAAAATAACAAATACACTTGGTTTACATGAATTATTAAATGTTTGACAACGTATTTGTTTTAACCATTTATGAGAATTAAATGTATCAAATACGAGAATAAGTCTTGATGTTAATGATGATTCATTTTCACACCACCATTGAAAAAGAAGATTCAACGTTATTTTTTGATTATCTATTCAAAACAAAACGAAAAAATCAATTTTATTATTTTTTTATAAAAAAAAACAAAAACAAAAACAAAACTAATCTCTTTACCAGACAAAATTATATCACCATTATCACATGTTGGGCCAGAAAAATAAAAGAAATATGTATCATAATGTCGACCATCATTAGTACGACGTGCAAAAAATGTTTTTAATTTTGTATCAACAAAATTCATTGGTATACCGGTTGATGAATAATCACAAGCAAATATATCAATTAAATTATTAGCCATAAAACGTTCAAGACCATTGAGTATATTTGTACAACGTTGACTACTATCATAAGCTTCTTGTTGAGAAAGAATTTGAACATTTCTACTAATCATATTTTGATAGAAAAAAAAAACGATAATTTTTCAAAAACAAAATTATTTTTACCTGTTGGAAAATAAACCATTATCACGAGATCTAAGAAAACAATGTGAAATTTTATTGAATATATATATTCATCTTTACTGTTTTGATGACAACATTTAAATTTAAACCTTTTCAGCACAATTCATATGAGATTAAAATGTGTTAAATAAAGTGGAGCTGATTAGAAGAAGCTCGAAACAAGAAAACATGTGATTTCTGATAGACAGAAACTATACCTTAAAACGACTTCTGTGACAATTGGTGCGTTCAATTCCCAATGTCTCGATCTATAATTCAATAGATCTCTAAATTTGATTCTTTCAAAAGTCAACAATAATTAACAATACAATAAATTGAAGTTTTCAATTCTTTGACTTATTCATATCGTGTTCATTAATATCATGTCCATATGTAGGACATTTCATTTCAAAAAAAGATTCAAGACAATCCAAAATAACGAGATTTATTTTTCACTCGTGATGCACAGTTTATTAATTTTTGTATTTTTAATCTTCTTGAATTATTGAGACGATCATGAAATCAAGTCTTTTTTTTTTAATATCTTCTTCGGATGAATGAGTTCAAGAGACCTTGACTTGTTGTATAGATTGCATAAAAAAGACAAATAGTTTTTCAATGTTAATAGTTACTAAACCATGCATAATAAAATGTAAGAACTATTTACTTGACAAATGTATGAATTTATTCATATCGGATGAATACAAGGACATATCGATTCAAAAATCTCTTCATATTTTTTTCTTGAAATAATACTCCTTATATATTAGAAAAATGACATAAATATGTATGGGATCTTCTTTTATCAGCATATTCTCTTGATGATTGAACAAAAATTTGCGAAGTTCTCTTTAACAATAAATGTCTATTTATAAAAAATAGTTGAATAAAATACACATTTGGTCATGTTTTATGAAGCAGAAACAATTAGAGTTCAAATGATGTTATCATTTGAACTGTAATGAATATATCTGTAATACTTATTTCATCATACATTATTTTAGATGATTTTCTTAACTTTAGTTAACAACTCAAGTTCCCTTGGGCCTGGACTTGTGACAGTTCGCAATTCTAAGAACTGGTTCTTTTTTTTGAGAACTGGGTCCATTGATCAGTTCTGTTTTTTATGAGCGGGGTGCACTGATCAATTCTTTTGTTGAGAACTGGATGTCGTGACCAGTTCTTTTTTCGAGAATTGGGTGCAGTGACTAGTTCTTTTTAAAGAACTGGGTACCGTGACCAATTCTTTTTTTGAGAACTGGGTCTAATGACCGTTTTTTTCAAATGCACTTGTTCTATCAATAATAGTGATCTAACGATTTTACTTAGTGCTTGCTCTAGTTGTCAAAACAGAACTGATTACCAGTTAAGTTCTTTGATCGGGAACTGTCACAGATCTCACTCTCACTTCTACGCTATGTACATATATGTTGTATTATGTTCTATTGGTCGAAATTTCAGACATAAAATTTTAATAGTCATTTTCTTCTAACTATAGAAGAAAAAGAAACAGCACTTACTCAAATGCTGGTGCAACTAATGCGTAACCAATACATGATCCACCAACGATTGATGTAAGCTGTTTCACAAGTGCCAAAATCAAACATTCAAAATGAATTGTTAAAAGTAATAATACAATAGAATAACTTGTACATGTATCATAATGTAATATACCAATAAAAGATGTTAATAATGTTGAACATACAAGAATTGGCCAAGCAATAAGACCAAAATATCGAATACCTTTACGAAAAATAAATAAATAAATAAATACATAGGAAGATAATCCGATGTTTAATCTGTCATAAACGGTATGAGTTTTTTTTTGTTAAAATCTTTGATGACTATTTTCATCACCTTCTGCTTGCAAAATATGTTTTTTTGATTGCACAATCCAGAATTCTTTGTGAATTTTCATTCTATATATTTAGTTTGTTTTTTGTTCGAAAGAGCATGTCAAGATGCAGGACATGATAGAGGTTCTTTTTTTGAATTAATCGTTATTACTATTATATAAAAGAACACTTTTATAATTAGAGCGCCATTTTTTGAGACATCCTAATATGCTTTTTCAAATAGAAAAAAATTAGGTTAGATAGAATGAAGGACTACAGAGAATTTTGGGTTACGAAATGAGATATTTTTTTTTCTTGTTTTGTAAATATCTCTTGAAAACGTTATGTTATAGGACTGAAAATTTTACCATAACCTCACCACTAGAACTTCAACATATCCTAAAAACTTCGTGTGATTTGAATTCATCTAACCAAAGATCGATTTTTTAGGGAGCGCAAGTTGTCTTAATTAAAAATTTCAAATATACCTCTAGATGCCATTAATTTAATAAATGAAATCTTATGATGTTCATCATTACTGTTTGCTTGAATCATAGTTAAATAACAATCAATTAATTTATTCGATAACATCCAAAGTAAACTAAATGTTAATGAACGAAATAAAAACCATATTCCTACACTTATTATAAATACTGGCACAATAATAAACCATTCATCGTGTAAACGTACTGTTTGTCCAATAATATAAATACAATGCAATGGTAATATACAATAAATAAATATCATAAAACGTTGAAATAATATTCTATATGAATTTGATAAATGTAATAATAAAATCCAACGTTCAAGTGATGTTAAAGAAATAAAATAAAGTTCAATTATTGGTCTTCCAACTAAACGTATAAGAAAACAAAAACATGCTATATAAGAATATGGTGTATAATAATGATAAAAATAACTGATATTAAATAACAATAGTATAAATCCATGAAATGCACGTAAACGTAATGTTATTATTAAGAAATATAATGATAATATTAAATAATAAAGTGATATTGATTGTGATGTTATATATAAACCAAAACTAAAACCAATTAATTCAGCTAATTCATTATAATGTATAAAATAAAATGTTGTATTATTTAATAAACGTATTAAATTTGATATAAATGAACATATTATTGATAGAATTAATAAAAAATTAAATAAAATAAAATTTGTTGATGATGATATTGTATTTGTTATTAATGTAAATATTGATAAAGATAAACATAATGATAAAAGAAATGATGTTAAAAATATAAATATATTAGAAAATAAATTTGGTAATAGACGTGTTAAAAAAAGAAGTATTATATAGAATATAGATACTAATAATAATATCCAACGTGGTATTAAATGTATATCAGAACGATATTTGACAATAAATAAATCGTGTAAACAAGCAAAAAATATAAGACAATTTGATATACATAAAAGGAGTCGATCAGAATTTTTTAGTGGCATCTAAAAAAGTATGAAATTTTCTTATTTTTATCATATAAATAATATATAAATATATTATATGTATAAGTATGTCTCACAGTCGTATTTATTTTTAGTTATTCTAATGAAAGAAAAAATTTTTCGCATGATATTTCTTGCTTTATTAATTCAGCTAGATGATTTAATATTACTAAATGTAAACAATAATATATCATTATTGAAAATTTTCTATATGCTATTAATTCACCATAATGTTTTATTAAATATAACTATAATAAATCAATATATTTTCCCTGTGTTATACATAATGTACCTATATGACCGTGATATGTATCATATATTGAAAAAAGTAAAATTATTAGTAATAATCGAATACATGTTGAATCACTTATTTGATTTTTAAATTTACGTAATAAAATATTTACTCCTTCAATTAATGATTTTCCAAATATTGTTTCGAGTAATAAGTTAATTGCAGATCATAATGGTATTTAATCATCTATTGTTTCAATTAAACTCATTCAAATTCAAAATCCTATATTATGTTTACTTAATGCTATTTATTGATCATTTGAAAATTGTTTAAATTCAGATAAATTTTTTAAAAAATTGATTAATGATGTTTCATGTTTTTTTTTTTATAAAAATCGAAAATAATGTTGTAATTTAATTTCTTGATTTAATTGATTATTGAAAAAATAATTTATATTCATATTTTTCAAATGATATTAATGGTAAACGATAACATTCTTCTTATGAATTATAAATATTTGGTATATAATCAAAAATCAATAGTTTTCAATGGAAAATTTTTTTTCATATCAAATATATCAATTGGATAAATGATAATTAATATCATACGATGATTGTCAAGAATTTTTTCATGTTTTAATTCGTTTTTTCATTCAAACTTGAATACATTTGTTTTAAACGACAATATAAACAATCATGACGTGTTTTCATATTAATAATACAATTTTCTAATAAATATCGACATTGTAATGATTGTAAATCTAATAATGCATTACGACGAAAAAATACTTGATAACACATACATGTTATCACAGCAAAATTAAAACCAGTTGCTGGTGTTTCGTAAACTGTGGTATATTAAACTTCTATGATAAACAGATGAGTTTTTTTGTTTGCATTTTGACACATTAATTATTTCTGATGATCTTGGACGTTTTTTTATTACTA